GAGATTTACGTCTCGAGCCGTCAGGCATCCTAATGAATAATGCGCATTATTTGGAGTGTAATACAGCCTTTAGTGTGCCATTGTGCATATTTTTATACGTTTTACGTTTTTGCATCTTGGAGACCTACATAATGAAAATACCATAAATATAATTAATAATAATAAGATTATAACGTACCCAAAAGAACTTTTTGGTGGGCTAAAATGAAAAAAAAGAATTAATCAGGGGTTTATTTTATGTTTTTGGTATGTGCTTAAAATTTAGTTTTAACTGTATAAAGCTATTTTTAACAAAGGGATATAATTTTACCATTTAGATTTACGAATATTACTCTTTTTTCTTGGACACGTAACCCTAAAAAACAAATAGGTTTTTAAATTTAAGAAATTAATGACTGAATATTAGTAAATATATTTAATTTTATTTTACCTTTTTACAAGCTCTGTTTGGCTGAAACATGCATATTTTGTTAAAAATACAATAATTCTTATCTGCTTTTATGTGTTATTTGACAACTTTAAAGGTTTTTTCTACGACCACTATGTAAAAGTCACATTTTGTAATAGCATCATTGCTTAGAAAATGAATCTTTTCATTGTCAAAACACGAATGTAAAGTGACATTTCTGTGCGAAAAATGACACGTCTGTGTGAAAAGAAATTGACAGCATCGTTTGACATTTGTTTCAAAATTTGTATTGTATTAGTGTATGTATGTTTAAATATCATTTAGAACATAATTAATTGTGTTTGTAAATATAATAAATTCCAATTTTAGTGCCTTTATTTAAATTGAGAAGGTAAGTTTATTGATTTTTAAGTAACTAATACCTTAAAAATTAAAAGAATAAAATGAATGTAATTTTAACAGCTGTCAAACACGTTTTTAGGTTATTTTGTTTTGTATTTGAATATAATAAAAAAAATAAAAGGGTCGTAGAAAAAATATTGTATTTCACTTGTGAGAAAATCTTTTTTCAAGCTCGTGTTAATGCACACTTACCCTGACGGCCTCGTGAGCAACTTAAACACTCGCATGAAAAAGTCGCTTTTCAACACTTGTAAAACAGACTATTTTTTCAAGAGGACAATAATTCTCATATTATTACACTCATAAGTCTATATATAAGCTAAAATATCATCATGTCAGTTGAACTTAATCTTAAAATAATGTGACAGAATCTTAAGAAATTATCATTGCTTGCTATAAATTCTTAAAAATGGATATAAAACAGGGCGTGGAAAGCTTATTAATTGCCTCGCACACTATCTATTGCCTTGGCTATCGCCTCGGCAGTGAAATGTATGCTCGGCGATAATATGAGCTTTCTCCACCTCCCTCTATAATCTAATATGTAAAGACTACATTTAAATATTAAAATTACCATTGACTGTTTGTTTGTGCTGGAATTCTACAACAACTTTCTTCTTGAAAACATTGATTGCTGAAATAAATTATTTTTATTAATTTTTTGGTATTACCAACCATAGGTATATTAGTTTTAAAAAAATGGTTCCATAGTTAACATATTTATTTTAAAACAATTTGTGTCACAAAATTCATTTTTACATCATTACTTGGTTATTAGTTATAACTTATTACTAGGGCGTTTCTCTGTAAACTGGGCAACTTGAAGTAAGAAATTGTCTAGGCAAATTTTTTTGTTATATTTTTTTGTATTTAATAAATGTTATTCGAGGAATAAATATCGGTCTATTTATTAGTATACGGCAGATGAACCAAAAATAGTCCTATTACTTTGGAAAACATTGAGCATTTTCTGAAAAATCTATTCAGGGGACTGTTTATAAAATCCGGAGACAAAGTTTAGATGACTTTTTTAGAATTACAAAATAATTATTATAAAAAATAAATAAGTCACAATAACAAGCAAACAATATTGGTTGAATAATTAAACAATTAGGTTGATTCCAATAGTTACTGTATTTAATTAATTTAGTCTGAAGTGACCATTTTGCTTCGGTGACACGTCAGGGGACTGGTTTTTAAGGACTATAAAAACGATTTTGATACATTAAAGTTTATTTTATTGGATTTTGAACGTCGAGCATAGGTATATTAGGTTATTATCTTTTGAAGTTATCTACGAAATATTTATGATCTGTTATTTTTCTAAACAATATTAGCTTGAGACAATGAGTTGCCCAGTTTACAGAGAAACGCCCACTAACAAATTTTAACTCCTACAGCAAAAATCTTTTGAGCCAATAACGAAGAATGATTTGTCTATGTGTTTAATGCAGAGTACAATTTCTGCTGAACACATAGTTTGGCTACGCCCTCTGGGAGGTAGATGTCGCTGAGAACTCTCGTTCGCTGTGTTTTCACCGCTGTTCTGTGGCAATTCTTGCCATAAGAGCGGCGGGTGCATTTTGTTTCGAGTGTGCTTCGGTCCAACAAGGCTACCCGACACTGATGAGGACCAAAAGTTCCAAACAGGCACGAACGCTGTTCGCATACGAAACTTTGCGATTTTCGTGTAAAATTGTATAAAGTGGATTTTCGAACGGGTGAATAATTTCCGCTTACGAAATATTTCGCGTAAAATACTTCGGATGGGTATTAGCCAGTCGAAACATACAATTCTTGTACGAATTGAAGTGAAAAATGGCGAACCTACATGACTTAGTGCTGTTTAATGTATTACGAGACGTGGAGGATGCAGAAATTTTGGCAAATGTGCCAGCTAGAAGGATTCATCCGTTCATAGACCCGTTTAATTATTATAGTGATCGACAGTTTGTCAAATTGTATCGGCTAACGAAGCCTTTAGCGGCTCAGTTAATCGATTTATTGGAACCACATTTACGAACCCCAAGCAGGATTTCCGGGCTTTCAGTGCCTAGAAAGGTAAGTTAAATACGTATCACTATAGTGATATAAGATATGGGTATATATATATATATATATATATATATATATATATATGCACCTATACGAAAACTTATTGCAAACTTAATGCTGTTTATTTTACAGGTGGCCATTGCTCTGCGGTTCCTAGCTAGTGGCAGTTAACAATGGGATATCGCAAAAAATATTAACCATGCAGTGAGTCAGACATCCGTGTCAAACGCCCTTCATGAAGTTATTGAGGCCTTGAATTTACCTCAGATTTTTAATCAGTTCGTTTATTTGCCAAGAAACATGGAGGAGATTTATTTAACGAGAGACGAGTTCTTCCGTACACATGGTTTTCCTGGCATAATTGGATGCGTGGACTGCACACACGTTGCTATATATCCGCCGCACATAAATGACCCGCTATATCCAGAAGCTGCTTACGTTAATAGAAAGCAATATCATTCGATAAATACACAATTGATTTGCGACAGCAATTTAAAAATTAGTAACGTTTGCGCCCGGTACCCTGGCAGCAGTCATGATAGCTTTATCTGGAATAACAGCAATGCAAATCAATACATACGAAATCTACATAATCATAGACGACAGGTAGCGCTTCTCGGTGATTCTGGATATGCATTACGTCCCTGGATGTTAACACCAATCAATGATTCTCCACCAGGTTCCCCCGAGGACAGATATAATCAATGTCAGAAAAGTACAAGGTCTCTCATAGAGCGATGTAATGGGGTTCTGAAACTGAGGTTTCGTTGTCTTTTAAAACATCGTGTTTTACATTATGCCCCGGACACAGCCTCAAAAATTATTAACAGTTGCGTCGTTTTGCATAATATGTGTATAAACAATAATGTTCCCCCTGTAGAGTTTGGCGATGAGGAAGAGGACCATTACATTGACCTCGATTATGGAATGTATAATGACAACGAAGACGAAAATGCCCAACCTATTGGAAATCGGGTGAATCCCGAGTTAGCTGCCGGGCGGCGCGTACAACAACGAATAATAGACAATCACTTTAATAATAGGGCCTAAATAATGTGTAAAAAGTATAATGTAAGTAGTTTAATAAACTTTGGTTTGACATATGGCATCCGAATCTTAATTAAAATAAACTGAAACCGGTTAAAAACATAATAAACGTACTTAACAAAAGTTAAATTCTGATAAAGAAACATAACAAACGTAAAGTGACTCACATACTTATCTCAAACTAACAATTTGTGAGGAACAAAGTAAAAACCATTTTTTAAATATTATATTTTCATTTATATAGGTGGGTTGTTGGGTTTTACTTGGAATGATACAAACTCTTGTTTTTAATGAAACACCCTTTATTTTTTGTGTTTTTGGATTCTACACACTATTTTAGGTATATTTTGTAAAACCTACATTAATAAAGAAAATTGTATAGCTTATTGAGTAAAATTAGGATTCATTAAAATTTCTCCCAATGTAAACATTTGCTAAAAGTTAAAAATAACCAACTAAAAGTTATTATTTTGTATCTTCTGTAGTGTGCATGTCTTTAAAAATAAATATATAGAATGTTCCTTTGGAAAAAAAGATTTTAAACTTTTAAAATCTCTATTTTTCACGGGGTCTATGCTCTATATAATATTGTTTAATAAAAGTATGATCAACTTCTAGCTTAGTAATTATTAAAGAGATGTATACTAATAGTATGATGCTACATAAGATAAAAAATAATTACTTATAGTTGGGTATTTTTAACTTTTATCGAATGTCTACATTTGGAGAAATTTTAATAAGTCCTAATTTTTCTCAACAAGCTTTAACATTTTCTTAATTAATATAAGTATAAATAAAATAGTGTATAGATTCTAAAAATGCAAAAAATACAGGGTGTTTCATTGAAAATAAGAAAGTTGGTATTGTCCTAAGGAAAACTGAACACCCTGTATAAATGAAAATATAATATTTTAAAATTATTTTACTTTGTAAATATTTGTGACTCACCTTACCACCATATACTTATAACAAAAGTTAAATTCTGAATAAGGAACACATTGAAGCTCACATCAAACTATGTATGTAAACACATCAACTAAGTGAACATATTCTTTATAAATCCCCTTCATCCAAAGAGGATTTATCCTTTGGGCATGTAAAATAATCACATAACATTGCAAGGTGCTCTGCAATTTTTTCCTTGGCCTTGACATCTCGCTCCAAAAGGTTTAATTTTTTACTTAAATAGTTTTCCTTATTTTCCACTTTGGACTTTGTCACTTGAAGCAGCTCAGTACTGACAGAGATGGATTTTTCCAACCGTTGAACACATCGAGCACTTTTTAAATTTGTTTGTTTTTCCATACCATTTCGTTTGGGCGTATTTGTAATTTTTGTTAAGTCCATATTCACGTATTCCTGCTAGTGCCTCAGACTGGTGAACATAATCATGGTCCATATTAGGGTTGACCACATACTCAAGAATAACACTTTCATTACCATGGTTCGCATCAAAGGCAAATGAACAACCCGACTCAATAATGGTTGGATGTCCTTCAGTGGCTGTAGTGCCAATTATGTCTAGGACTTTCTGTTCTTCTTTGGTAATTTTGATGTCAGTCAGCGGCGGTCCACCTCCAGTTTGTCTAAAATGGGTTTTTAACGCTGAACCTTTCTTTTTTGCGTTGCCCTTTAAGTCCTGCCAAGCCTGCAATACAAAATATTAAGACGTGTTAAAACGAGATCTGTGAAAAGCATTGTACATACTTTACGCCATTGTTTCCAGTCTTTTTGAGCCCCTGGGATCGCATTTAAACTATCACTAAGGCTCATCCACAACGTTCGTGCTGATTTAAATGTAAAGTCGTTATTAAACTTTCCATGTTCTAGAGCAGGATTTCTTTCCATAAATTCAATAATCTCCTTTTTCTGTTCGGAGGATATATTTCCTACCCTTTTGGCCATGTTTCAAAATCTGCGTCTTTGAATTTGTATTTACTAAATACTATTTAGTAGTGCACAGTTTGAATAATTTAACCTAATATAAACAAAATGAAAGTTAGGTTAGGTACGATGAAACCGTGAACTGCGGAGATTTCGTGCGAATTTGCGAGGTTGCCGCTCCTAAAATATTTCGCGTGCGAATTGCTTTTCGAGTGGCGTTTTAAAATACCAACTTCCCTTCGTATACGAAAATTGCCAATCGAAAATATTCGTCTACGAATAAATTCGTATAAGATAGAAAATCGCACCCACGGGGTGCGATTGTACCATTTTGAGGATACCCTGTACATATTTTTAAATTTTACCTATTAGTTGCGCTGGATCTTGGAGTCCTACGGAATGAAAATACAATAAATATTATTAAAAATAAAAGAATAACATCATACCCAAATGAACATTTGCGAGGGCTAAAATTGAAAAAAAAAGAATTAATCAGGGTTTTGTCGTTTTTGGTATAGGTGCAGTGTGGCCCATCAAAAAGAGTCCGGCAAGGTTTACTGCTTTGTAGGTAAAAATAAAAAAAATCCCGTATATTTTTGATTTCAGGAAAACATATTTACACATTAATGTCATCACTGTAACTTCAACCCCTTAGGGGGCCGGCATTCTTCCTTATTCTTTTCAAATGGGAAGGCGTATGTTGTGATACATATTTTAAAAGGGCATAACATTTTCATTTAAATGGCGCTTCGTTTTTTAAATTTGTGCTGCGGATCGCCGAGTAATGGAATTGCAAACATTCTACTGGGCCGCTTATTTACAAATTTCGTGAAGCAAATAATTTGTTGAAAAAATTCTTTAAACTATAGTTATAACAAATATTAGTCGACAAATCGACTTTAACTTCAGTAAAAGTGTTATTTTTGTGCTTTTATTTTCTTTCGATTTGAAAATAGTTTATTCTATTGCGGGGAGAGTGGAAATTATTAAATTGTATTTTATAAACAATCAATGTGCAAGAGTAACGGCAACTTTGTTTAATGAGAGGCATGGAGATAGATACGATGGGCCACCCTGTATATACATATATGTTTAAAATGTAGTTTTAACTGTGTTTTTAATAAAAGTATATAATTTTACCTTTTAGATTTGGGACTATTAAACTTTTTTCTTGGACACCTTTCTCTAAAAAATAAAAACATTTTAATTTTAAGAAATAATGACTCAATGTTACTAATTTTATTTACCTTTTTACAAGCTCTGTTTGGCTGAAATATGTATATTTTAAATACTAATAATTTTTATCTACACTTGTCCCACTAAAGACCTTACCACCCTTATGAAATTTGCATTTTTCAATGGCTTTAAATGCATGTCACTTGTTTTGACGACTAAACTCATGGCCAACTGTTGTCTCTTTTTGGGGTGTAAATTTCGATAAGTACTATTAGGCATTTTTTAATTCTTTAAAAACAAAAAAAAATTTGTGAATAAACACATGTAATGGAAATTTTATTATTGCCAAATGCTTCCCAAGCTACAACTAAATTTACCACAGGGTAGGTATCCGAGCAGCGATTTCAATCCGGGGCCGATCCGATATTTTTTACAAAATATCCGGTCCGGCTAGGGAAGTATGTGTGGTTGACGTTATACGGCCCTGATCGATGCACTTCGATCCTGTCCTGATGAGGCAGCCTGGATGCGGCTCTGATACGGACAATCATATCCGAATCTGATGCGGTCCTGATTGGAAAACCCATTTTTTAATATCCCAATACCCCATAACCCCAACCAGGCTGCCTGATCCGGCCCCAACTGAAAAAAATATATCTTAACCCATTTGGAATGTCTGATGCGACCCTCATTGGAAAACCTATATCCCAATATCGCAATATTTCAAGTCGCTCTGCCTGAACCGGCCCCAACTGATATTTTTAACCCAATAGGAATGCCTTATCCGGCTCAGGCAGAAAAAAATTACATTCCAACCCATTACGGGTGCCTGGATCCGAAATTATATCTCAAACCAATCGGGGTGCCTAATCCGGACCCTACCATAATTTCTCTAATCAGGCAGACTAATCAGGGCCGGATAATGATAAAATGGGGTTGCCTTATAGGGTGAGAGTAGAGTTTGCCTCTTCCAGGCCGGGCCATAATTTCCTTTACTTCTCCCTAATCAGGAAAAATGGTTTTAAAGCCTTTTTAAGATATCTATCCAAAAAAAACTTTACGAAAATCGGTTGAAAATGCAAATTTTACGAGGGTGGTAAGGTCTTAAGGACACACTGTATGTATGTTTTTTATCTGATATTTGACAGCATCAAATAGATTTAATTGGCAAATACTATACTAAAGTATTAACATAATATTTGTGAAAATAAAATAAAAAAACATTTTAAATATATTTTAACTTTATGTTGTAAATGTTTTTACTGATTTCAAGTCATAAAAGCTTTTTTAAATAAAATGCTGTTAAATACCAAATTTAAAAAACTTTTTACATATTAATATTAAAATTACCATTGACTATTAGTTTGTACGGGAATTCTACAACAACTTTCTACTTGAAAACTCTGATTGCTAAAAATTATTTTAATTAATCCTTTGGAATTCTTTTTTGGCGTTACTAAATATAAAGCATAATGTAGAGTTTAAAAAAATTCAATTTTTCACTACTATAAAAAGTCCATCTATGGTGAGTGGTCAGATTATAGAAATAATGCACACATTAAAAAAGAGTCCTGTGTATTTTTTAACATGTTTTGATAAAGGCAAGTTATCTGTGTCAGACATTTTTTGTTACAATGTATAAAGGTCTTGGACTAGTAACCGTATGCACAAAACTGTTTAGTAAATAATTAGTTATAACTATAAATTAGTTATTTACTATATTTTTTTATACATAGAACAACGCTACATGTTTAAAATTTTAAATTGCTTAGAGCTGGGCCGTTGCTATACGCCCTGTAGGATCTCAAGGAGATGGGGAAGGGGGGATATACCTTTTGGTGGAAGGGGCCTGTCTTTATGTCGGAATATGCAGAATAAGCAGCTGGCTTCAAGGATGATTAAACTGGTTATTCCAGGAGATACAACCGTTTAAGCAAGTAGTTATTTACTATGCTGATTAATAGGAAAATATGCAAGTTGCTGTGAGAACCGGTAACATATCATCAGTAAAGGAAATAGATACAAATTAGCTTTATTTCAGTACTGCCCTAAAAACTGATGTGTTGGCATGTTTATTGCAACATGTTGTTTGGGTGACTAAAGTTTTTTTTTATTTATACATCTATTGCTTCTACGACGATTGTTTGTTTAGTGTTTTGAACGTTGTGTGCCGATTTATAATTACAAATATTAACGTTTGCCGTATTGGGGGAATTCTCTTTTTCTTACTTGGCTGTTTGTTATCCTGATTTAGATGCGTTGAAGACGCTTAACCTCTTCGAGAAAGGTAGAAAATGCAAGATTACTTTATTAGTGAAAAATGCAAATTAAATCATGCGGCTTAAAGCTATTTAACTTATCGTTTGCTGCTGCGATTCACTTTACTCTCTCTTTGGCTTCTAAAGCCGGTACAAAAAAATGTTTTCTTCAAAACGAAGCTTTTTAGGGGGCGTAGCAAAAAATTTCATTTTTAACGACCACCCTAATATATATATATATATATATATATATATATTCTTTTTAACCGCCATCCCCAAAGGGTATACCCCGGACAAGTTGTCCGATTTTGATTCTACACGACTTATATAAGTTAACTAATTTACCAGTTAGTGGCTTGACAACTTCTTGAAGAGGAGCCATAATAAGAATCACTGTAAAAATATAATAAGTAAAATGTTTTAAGTAAAAGTGCGGCCAAAATAACTAAGCGAAGAGCCTTAATAAAACGTGGATATTACTATAGTAATAGAAACTATTACACCTAATTTTAGAATGATGTCTCGTAACTAAAATAATTGTAGAAATTATAATTACAAATTGGTTTCCGTTATAAAATAGAGAACCAAACGATATTTTGTCAAAAATGGGTTTATTTCTGCACCCTGATCAGAATTCTATGCTTTTTATTTTTGTATAAATAAACCAAGCAACTTTCGCCTCTAACGCAATGTAATCATTAGTGGGACCAACTAAAAAGCAGGTTGGATAAAATAAGTTGAAGATAGTAGAGAAGGAACCCTTGACATGAAACACTAATTTTCAAATTATTTTTTATTCTTATTTCAGCCTAATATGTTAGGGCCCATAAAGTAATTTAAACGTTTAAGGATGTCGTCTACCATTTGGGACTAGGTCTGGATCGTGCGTTACGTCACACCAAATTAAAAACAACACTGAAAGAAATATATGTTTGTTTTAGCAATGTTTGTGGTTCATATATGGACTACCACATACATTGCTAAAACAAACATATATTATATTTAGTTTTAACATAATATGTTAAAACTAAATATAAAAATGGTTAAGGTAAATATATTATATGTTTGTTTTAGCAATGTATGTGGTAGTCCATATATGAAACATAAATTTCTTTCAGTGAATCACTGCGTGTTTTTAAACTAAAAGGCTTAATAACTTGTAAACTACTTAAATATGAGTATGATTATGAGAGTTTTATATCCCTTTTGACCGGGACGTTAGTATTTGGGATTACTGTTTGCAGTTGTTAGTTTGCAGTAGGGGCTATCTTTGTTAGTCGCCGTCTAAATCTTGTCCTTCGTTGTCAGTACTGACTTTATAGAAGCTTCAGACAGGCTAAAAAGTAAAAAAAAATAGAAAACAGCTATTCACAAATTATTTGCTTCAGCTAATTTAAAGAAAGATTAGATCCTATTTAGCCAGTCGTTATTTTACTAAGCTAAAAATATAGTAAACAGATATACAAAACTTATTTTACCTCACTGTGCATTATACATTATTTAGTAATTGGTATTTCTTAATTTCTTAATTTACTGCTTGTTCGTTAATTGTATTTTTAAGTGTCAGATGTTTATTTTTGTATCGTT